CCCGCCTCCGGGGGCCGCGAGGCCTAGAGTCAAGCGGCAGTTGATCGCGCGGCGGGTTCGCCGCGCTGCTAATAGGGAGAGGGAGGGGTGCTCCGGCCTCGGGCTGTCACCATACGGCCCCCCCCTGGTCCCTGCGAGCGCCTCCGCGGGGTGCAGCTTGGCCTAGGTTCCTCGTCTGTCTCCCTCCGCTCTCACTTCACGGGAACAGGCCCCTTGTGAGCCGGGTAGGCTCTGGCCCGTAGTTCCCAGTTCGGCTTGCACCGGGTCCGGGGCTAGGGCCTAGGCCCTGCACAGCTGCTTAGTTTCCTCCTGGTCTATCAAGCTGTTTCCCTGCGAGAACTGAGTTGCTCCCAAGCCTGGGCAGATGCAGGCGCTGGAAAGGGGGTGTCCGCAGCGCGATGGATCATCACCTATAAAGCAACAACCACCCTTTCTTCCAGTTAAAAATAAACCTTAAGTTTCAGGGATAGGGGCCTGGGGCTGTGTCATTCTGTTAGATTGAAGCAACACAACAACAAAGAGAGTTAAACCTGCAGGGCTGTGAGAGAGCTCATTCCCACAAGCAGACAGAGCAGAGGTTAGCTTGACTGGTGGAACATCAAGCCCATGAAGAAGAAGAAGAGCGGGTCGCTAACACGTGGATGAAGAGTCTAGAAATGCTGCTGGTACTGCCAAACAGGTGATTGTAAACTTTAGGTGAAGCAGGAATCAAAGGGGGTGCAAGTGCACCATCTGGATCCACCTCTATTCCCAAGGGTGGCGATTTCAATATTGGTGCCTCCAAGATCGACTTTAGAGGCCAAAGTAAAAAAATGGCATGATTCACAAGTGGTCACCTATGCTGGAGGCTGCAAGTGAGAGATGAACAGTGGAAAAAAACACCCGTTTGTTCTCCCTCTCAGCATCCAATCTCTGCCTCTCTGCGACACAGGATAATACTGGGAAGACGGACCTATGATCTGACCCAATACATGTCAGTTCTTATGTTCCTACGGTATCACAGAGACTTGGTGGGACAGCTTCCATGACTGGAATTTCAGCAGTGAGAGCTACACTCTCTTTTTGGAAAGACAGGATTGGGAGAAAAGGTGGCATTCGCTTTGTATGTCAAAAATACATATTTGTTCCCCAGTTCAGAAAGAAGATCAGAATATATGTGGGTGAAAATAAAAGGTGAAAAATACAGCACCAATAAAACGGTGAGGGTTTATCATAGACTACTAAGGATGAAAGTGTGGATGAGACACACTTCAAGAAAGTGACAAAATTTATCTCAGTTATGAGATTGTCTTGATGGGAGACTTTGATATTCCAGACACCTACTGGAAGAATCATATAGCCAAACATAAAAAGTCAAGCAAGTTTCTACCTTGTGTGGAGAACAGCATTCTTTTCCAGAAAGTTGAGGATACAATTAGGAGATCATCTATCTTGGATCTTGTCCTGACTAATAGGGAAGAATTAGTGGAGGATGCAAAGGCGAGAAAAAGATCACAATATGATAGAATTTATGATCCTAACACTGGGAAAGTGTAAGATCAGCAGAACTAGGACACTGGATTTCATAAAGGCAGCTTTCAACTGACTTAAGGAGATGGTACTCATCATGTCATGGAAGGACAGACTAAAGGATAAAGGCACCCAGGACAGCTGGAAGCTTCTAAAGAGTATTGGAAGGTCAACAAGAAGCTGTTCCAGCATGACAGAAGCATGAGAAGAATGGCAAGAGAGCAATCTGGCTGCACGGGGAGCTTCTAAGATGCTTCAAAAGCAAAAGGAAAGCATACAGGCAATGGGGAAATGGGCTGATTACCAAGAAAGCATACCAGGAAATAGAATTTGCAGGGACAAAGTCAGGAAGGCAAGAGTAAAAAATAAACTTCACCTGGTAAAGCAAGTTAAGGACAACAAAAAGACATTATAAAAATACTAGCAAATTCCCCATAAAGAATGACCGTGGGGGGCAGGTGGGCAGGGATGGAGCCCCGTGTCCAGCTCCGCCCCACCCCCCCAGTCACGCCAGGCCCAGGCCCACTGCCCCCACCATGCCCCCCACTTCACCACTCTGAGCTCTTCCCCACTCCCCCCGCTACACCCTTGCTCCCCACCACCACTCTGGCTCTGGCCCTGCTCCACCCCCCTCCGCCTGTCTGGGCTTGGGAGGGCAGGGAGGGAGATTGAAAGTGCAGGAGGGAGTGGGGCAGGTGCAAATTATTTGCTCCTGCCCCACTCCCTCCTGCACTGTGGGGATTACCCCACGACCCAGCCATGCCGGTGCCCCTTTCACAGTGACTGGGGCCCCGGTTTGTGGGACAATCGGACCCTAGCAGCTCCTCCAGAGGTGTGGTGCTGGGAAGCTGGGGGCATGGGGCCCCCAGTCTGTGCATAGGGTAGGGGCAGGATCTACCTCTGCTCCCTGCCTTGCTGCCGCTGCTTTGACAGTGGCGCGGTGCAGCGCCATGCGAGTCCCGCTGTGTAGCAGGTCATGGTGCAGCACCGCTGTCAAAGCAGTAGTAGCAAGGCAGGAAGCAGAAGCAAAGCCCACCCTTGCCCTGTGCACAGATGGGGGACAATGTGCCCCCCTGCTCCGCTCACTGGTGTCATGCCTCTGGAGGAGCTGCCAAGCTCCAATTGTCCCATGACCCCGCCCAGGTGGGGCGACATTCACTGTGAACAGGGCCCTGGCTGGGCCAGGGCATGGGGCAATTAAAGCCCAGTGGGTGGTCCAGGGCCATGGCACCAGGGAGCCAAAGTGAGGGAGAATGTGCCCTGGTTCCCCCGTGGTGCACGCAGCGGCAGAAGCCGCCTGTCCTCACCCCTGGAGGAACCACTGGGCTCCAACTGCCCCATTACTCAGCCCAGCCTGAGCACAGCCCACCCCACCCACCCTCTTGGCAGCGTATGCACAGTTGGGCCAGAGTATTCTGGACAGACAGATGGACAGAGGGTCTAAGGCTTTTATTATATTAGAAATTAGGCCAGAAAAGAAAAACCAAGGAAGGTATGGGTCCTCAATTAAATAGACAGGCCAAACTCTTAACAAGATGTTGGCTCAGAGTGGCACGAGATGCATGGGTGCATGCCTGCCATGCCCCCACACCCTGAAGCCCCCCAGCGACCTCCAACAGCCACAGAGCACCCCGATGACCCCCAGCACAGCTGGAGGTAAGTGGAGCCTGTGGTGGAAGGGGACTAGGGTAGCTCAGCTGTGGCGAGGCAGCTGAGAGGAGCCAAGGAGGGTCTCGCCCTGCCCTGGCTCCTATTTGGCCCAGCCTCCCAGGGAGCCACACGAACAGGACACACAAATAGGCGTGCTTCTGGGCCCAGCACATGGCTTAGCGTGGCAGTTCACTCAGGACGGTGAGCGGGAGGGCCCGAGGCCCTGCTAGTGAGCCCTAGGGAAGCTAGTGCCATCAGTAGCCGGATTACCAGCGGCACAACGTGGATGGGCACACGCCACACCCCAAGGGTCCCCTTGGAATCTGCAGCCTCTCCCTCTGGCACCTCAGAGGCCGTCACCCAGATGGAACCCACAGTTCTGGGCTCCACACAGACAGAGCCTCTGGCTCTTGGTTGCCTGGCATATTGCCAGGCACATGGGACCAGGACCATGACCACCTCCTCTTGCAGGGTTTGCTCCACTTTGGAGTCTCTGGGGCACCAGATTGAGGAGCTCCAGGCCACAGTCCAGAGACTACATGCCATCAGGGATGGTAAGCAGGAGATAGACTCCTACTGCCAGGCCCTTCACTCCCTGGAGGCAGAGGGTAGACCAAGGTCACCTTCCAGGACAAGGGAGGACTCAGGGATCTCCCACACAGTCCGGCCAGGGGGTTGGACCAAGGTGGTCAGCGGTCCCAAGGCCCGCTGCACCAAGGTCCCCTCCCCTCTGGAGCTTTGCAACAGGTACAAATCTCTTGCAGCCCCAATAGAGCCTGCAGAGCTGCCAGCTGCTGCTGGCAATGCAGGCTCACCCACAACTACCATCCCTGCTCTCCCTAAGGCCACTCATAGAGTGGTGGTTGTGGGAGACTCCCTCCTGAGGGCGACTGAGGGTGCAATCCGTCGCCCCACCCCCTTAGCCTGGGAGGTCTGCTGCTTCCTGGGAACCCGTGTCCAGGACATGGCCAAGAGGATCCCTAACTCATCCAGCCCACCAACCACTACCCTATGCTCCTTTATCCACGTGGGCATGAATGACACGGCTCGGAGCAATCCCAGCCATGTTATGAGACGCTACATTGTTTTGGGAGCGGGGTTTAAGGGGTTGGGGGCACAGGTGGTGTTTTCCTCGATCCTCCCAGTTTCGGGCTATGGGCTGAGGAGGGAGAGGAGGATCAAGGTAGTCAACCAAAGACTGAAGAGCTGGTGTCATCATGAAGGCTTAGGCTTCTATGATCACAGTCCACTGCCTCTCTCACCAAAGAGCAGTCTGCTGTGGGGAGAGAGCCTCCACCTCACTC